TCTGATTCTGGTCTGGTTCCTGTTTTGTCCAGTTTATTAAGTTTATTAAGTTACACATTCCAAGACCAGACTGTAGTAAAAGTCAAGATTTTCAACAATGATGGTGCATGGTTAGAAAAGTTAATAAAATTAAAGTTTTTGACATATGATTTTTCACAAGTTCAGCCCAAATACTACATATGAAATCAACACAATCTGATCTCCGCACACATCCTGGGTCTTATTCTTTGCACTTAGTTCATTTCATAATGTTTTATAGATTGGGACTTAGTATCAGCAGATACTCAAAATCAAATGACTCAGACTCAGGGGCAAAAAAATGTGATTGGGACATCCCTATAGTGAAAAATAAACCCTCTGTCATGTTTTTGATCCTCATTGTTTTTGCATAATATTTTGGTGTGTCTTGTTATGTCAAACATAACGGAACGCAACAATGACATGAAGATGAAGAAAACTGAGACATTTTCTAATTTTTCCTAGATTTGGTCAGACTGTGAACAAAGCCCGCCGGAAGTTGTCATCACATGTTTCCAAATGTCTTCCTGGTTTGTGACGTAGTGTGAGTAGAGCCTTTTGTCAGTGTCAGTGTCATGTCTTGTCAGTTTCTATTTTTGGATTTTTTAAGCACTTTAACAGCAGTACTGCACTTTGGGTCCTCCCTCTGTTTCATCGTGACACCATCAGCCTTTTCAGCAGGTCTCAAACTATAATAAAATAACATAAATACTTTTACTTTTCAATCCTGTTCAGAAATGTAGAGGGGTTGAAAGTACAGATACCTTCACTCAAAAGTAGTGAAGTAAAAAGTCTACATGTTAAAATGTACCATATTTTTTGGACTGTAAGGCACACCGAATTATAATGCACAATAATGTTGAATTCTCTCATCTATTTTCATACATAAGGTGCACAGGATTATAAGGCGCATTAAGTGAAACAAACGGACGACACTTGAGACTGATCCCTTAGCCCAGGTGTCCACGGGTCATTCTACCTCAATTCACCCCAAAAAATTGCAATTTGAACTCTCACATTGCCCAGTTGTAAAGAAAATTGATGTATGGGTAAGTCATGGCCAAGAAAGCCAAAATCTGAAATTTTAACATGATCGGAGTAACGGTTTAATGGAGTAACGGAGATATTGCAATTTCATTATTACAATTTTTTGAGTGGTCGCTGAATTTCAAATTGCATTTACTCAGCAACTACTGGTCCAATATCAAAAACCAAAGTATCTCTGGAAATGGGACATCATAAGGAATCCAAATCTGGGAGATGAATTACCTTTTAATGCCAGATTGCCTTTACTCCACAAGACTCCACCAGGCGCACTGGATCATAAGGTATATTAACTGAAACAAACGGACGACACTTGAGACTGATCCTTAGCCCAGGTGTCCACGGGTCATTCCTCCTCAGTTCACCCCAAAAAAATGCAGTTTGAACATTCACATTGTCCAGTTGTAAGGAAAATCAGTGTATGGGTAAGTCATAGTCAAGAAAGCGAAAATTTCAAATTTTAACATGATCAGAGTAGCGGTTTAACGGATTAACTGAGATATTTTGCCGAATTTCAACTTGCATTTACTGAGCAACTACTGATCCAATATCAAAAACCAAAGAATCTCGAAAGGGGACATCATAAGGAATCCAAATTTGACATTTATTTTAGCACCTTTTAATGCCAAATTGCCGTTATTCTGCGAGGCTCCTTACTTCGGTAGCCGTAATGTACAATCCATCAAGCGGTGCAACATTGTATCTTACTAAAGTCGTACTAAAATATTTTGACAGATTTTTGAGCGCCATGTGCCACATAAAATCGGTTTAATGTCAGTAAGCATAACCAGAATTAATACAGAAGGCGCACTGTCGATTTTTGAGAAAATTAAAGGATTTTAAGTGCGCCTTATAGTCTGAAAAATACAGTAAAGTAAAGATGCCTAAGATGTATAGTAAAGTACAGCACTTTTACTTTGTTTCCACCACCACATCTGACCCTGTCCTCTTCATCCTCTGTACCACATATTCACTCTCCCTCCTCTGTACCATATATACACTCGAAAGATTTTTTAAACCGACTTTTTCAAATCTACTCTAGCCTCGAAAATTGCTCCAAATTTGGGTCAACTGTGCTAAGTGAGCTGTGGACCTTTAAGCACGGCTCTAACTTTCTTTCCGCTCCAACCATGAAAAATGCATGAAACCTTGTGAAAAATAAAACTTAGTCTATTTATAAAGTGTCTTCCTTTACTATATTCAAACTTTGGCTTAACACGAGGCTAAAAAGCACATACAAAGATGAGGAGGCAGATTGTGTATTATAAGAAGAGAGAGTGGAGCAGTGTCTGGCCCCAGTTTACTTCATTAACTTCATCACCTTCCCTCAAAAGCTCTGACCTACTTTGCCTCAGCTGTTTGGGTTAAGTACAGAACCAGACCGGAGAAATAAAAGAGCAATTTGGCACTTTTTATGTTTGCAAAAGTCAAATTATCTCATCTGTAAATTAAAGAAGGAGCATTAGTGTATGTTTTCTACCATGTTCGCTTAAAGAGGTTTTAGATGCCATCCAAGCATGTTTGAGTAATTTAGCGACCTCTCCTGAGCCTATTTTAACCCATAAATCCACCCAAAAGTCGACATCATCCATGCTCCCACGCGACAATTCTCCATAGTTATACAAAAACATAAACAATGCTGTAATAATGCAATAATCTGAATTAAATAATATTGTCTGGATGTCTGAAACTAGGCCTGTCGTTGACTAAAGACATTCTTGTTGGATTAAAGACATGCCCTGATGATTGATTGGTCGACTAAAAAGTATCCGTGGCAAAAACTCTCAAAAATATTCTGTATCTCTGTTTATCTGACCCAAACTGCACTCACAAGACGACTCCAGCAGGGGGAGTTCATGCAAAAACAAATATATATCAAGGGAAAAAAGCACTAGGAAACAATGTATTTATATAAAAATGATTAAACTTGTGAACTCATGAGTTTAAATTACCCAAAAATACAAAATCTTCAGCAACAACTCACTCAACCACCAATTTAAGTAGTCAATTTTGTAAAGTAAAAGCCTCATTTGAAAAAAGCAACTTAATTAAAAGTATAAAAGTATAAAAGTACCACTTCAAAAATACCAAATCATGAACTCAACTGACTCACTCAATAACTTCTCCTTTCTGCTCCCGTATAAATCCTTATCGTCTAAATAAAACAAATAGTCAACTAATACACACTTTGGTCAACTAAGACCCCATCACCGATTAATCGACTGAATGACTTAAGCCTGCAACCCGATCTGAAACTGTTCCAGCTTTAACAGTTCCAGTACAGTTTTTGATACTACAGCTTTAAGTATCTTCCAATATCAACAGATCCCAGTGCAGAGACTGAAAACAGCTGAACTAAAATAAAACAAGACCAAACTGATCCAAATGTGTTATAGCTGTTATTTATCTTTCTACAGGAGGCATGTCCAAACTATGGCCCGTGGGCCAAATGCGGCCCTCAGACAATATTTTCTTGGCCCTCAGGTGAATTGGCCCAAATTACTTTGCATCAATTAAAAGTGAAGTTTTTACTGCAAGTTTTTTGAAAATCTACCTTGATAAAGTTAATATTTAATATTTACTGTGTGGTTTTAACAATCTTAGCATGAATAAAGGACTGATGGCTCATTCTAAAGTGTTAATTATGCACATATTTTAATTATTCACTGTATTGAGCATCAGTCTACGGCCACAGTGCTTCAACTGTGTTTAGATATGTGGCCCTTGATGAAAAAAGTTTGGACATCCCTGCTCTACAGTATTGTTTCCCAAAGACTGGGTCATGAACCTCAGGTGGATGGCAAGAGATTTTTTTGGGGGGGTCGTCTTGTCACAATCTGCATGTAGATCTGCAGTTTACAGTTCTGACACATGAGATTTTCTGTGCTCACAAAATGAAAGCAAAACACGGAAACAGACTGAACGCTGCGTCTGATCTGATGCTGTGTGTCCTCCTGCACCCGGACTGAAACACGCTACAAAAACACAGACGGGCCCACCTGTCTCACTAGAAATGTTCAAATGTTAAGACATGTTTTGAATCATTTCTAATCTTTTCGTAATTATGTTATTGACTATTTTGTTCCAATATTGTTGCTTCAATTGAATGTTGAAAAGAAAAAGAAATGTTCTACATTTAATGTCCAAACAGGCGACTTCTGGATCCTTTTATTGCTGCTTCAATGACTGTTTTTCATTGTTTAACACCTGAGGAATACTAATTGTTCAGAGACACGATCACTCAGTCAACAATAAAATATCCTCATTAATGTTCAATAATGATCAAATCCAACTTTATTTAGTGATTTCCGAATAATGTCTATTGACTTGGGTCATGAAGGTTTGTGACTTTTAAAATATGAGTCCACAGAAAAAAAAAAAAAAAAAAACAGTTTGGTAACACTGCTCTACAGAATAAGTTTAAACATTATGGGACTTTCTGGGTTGACTACAATCCAAAAATCCATAATTACATCAATGGAAGTCGATATCCAATCCAGCAAATTTGTCTGTACTGGTGCAAATATCTCATACCAGTAATGTATCGGTGCATCCTTTTCTGAAACCCAGCAAAACCACGTCAAAACAATCTGATTTTGGCGCAGATACTGAAAAATTTCCTAAATCGGGTATCAGCTTTGAAACATCGGTTCAGTCGGTGTACTGATTTGACATAAGCTGATGTAATAAAACGATTTACTAGTCATAATCAGTCCCAAAAGTCTAAGAATCTTTGAACTTTTATTGACGCAAAGTTGTTCTGTAATTACTTGAGAGATAATTAACAGTTACGTAACATGTTTAAAGGCAATAAAAGCTGTTTTCAGTCTCTGTTCTGGTATTTTTTGACATCGAAATCAACAGGTAAAGCTATAGTATCGGAATCGGTACGAGCATTGAAACCCAACAGCGTGAGTGGAGTGTAAAGCAGCTCTCACCGGGCAGGCTGGTGGACACGTTGACCTGGGTGTAGAACCTCTTCTTGGGCAGAAGCTCTGAGACTCCGTTGAGCGCCTCCACAGTGAAGCTGTAGTTGGTGTTGGGTAACAGGTTCACCACGGTAACCGTCCTCTCCGTCAGGCCGATCTGCTGCGGCACAAAACCGATACTGGCCCCGCACGGATCGCATCGCCCGGGGGTGCACCTCCTGCAGCCCACACTGTACGACAGGTCCGCTCTCCCCCCACTGTCAGCAGGGGGCGCCCACTCCAACACCAGCGTCGACTGTTTCAGAGAGTACACCAGGTCTCGAGGGGGAGAGGGGGGTCCTGTACGGAAGAAGAAGAGAGGAAGAGTTTAGACGAGATTAGTTTATTTGTTTTTATGTTTCATTCAGTGCAACAGTATTTGGGTTTGGATTTAGACTACGTTCACACGGCAGCCTGAAGTGACCCAAATCCAATTTTTTGGTCCCAATGTGACCTGTATCTGATCTTTTAATGACAGTCTGAAGGACACAGATCTGATTTTTTCAAATGTGACCCAGGACACTTGGATATGTGCTCCTGAAACTGATACATATCTGATCTTTTGACATGCGACTTCAGTCTAAACGGTCAAGGCGCATTCATCCAATCTACACGTTATCAACAAGACACAAACGTCACTATTCTGCACTGAAGTAGGCAGAAACTGTTAGAAAGCTACAAGTATGGTGGATGACAAAGTGTTATAAGTTGTTCATGTTCTGGCTCCGGTACGAGAGGAACTTTAAAATCTCCAGGTGCTCAATGCTGCGTCCATGTTTGGACAACTTCCATAAACACAGAGACGCTCACTGCAGTTGACGTCATCGTGTCTCCAGTGTCACATGTGGGACACTTTTGGGCCGTTTAATGTTCACACTGGAGTCACATACAAGTCACATTTAATTGGAAATGTGAACGACCTCGCAAAAACATCGGATTTCACAAAAAAAATCTGAATTGAGCATTAAGCCCTGCAGTCTGAACGTAGACTTAGATTCCAACTCTACACTTCATATGATTTTTATTACGTTGGTCAAAGAGCAATTGTGTGAATGTATTTTATATTGATATCTGTGCGTCTTTAAGTATCAAATTACCACAGTCTGGAGTTTGTGAAAAGAAATTCAAATCTCACAACAAGAGCAGCTCTAGAGGAGACTGCTCTGTGCTGTTTAGAAAAAGCTTTTGGACAGACTCTTTTGCTTATTGAGCAGGTCAGACATGGAACACAGTGTCTGCTCATATACAAGAACTGTCAACACTGCAGCATTTTCTAAAGCTTTAAAATAGTGATGTTAAATGGCCAAATATGTCACCATGTTTAACCAAATTACATTTTATTTTATATTGAGGGGTTGTTGGTTTAACTCTTAAACTCTTGACTTTGAACTACAAATCAACAGTTTGAAGCGAATTTGTGTGTGTACAGTGAGTGTGTTGTGTGTGTTTTTTTTAATGTTCATTAATATGTGCTGTCCCTTTACAAATAAATAAGAAATATGAAACGGTATTGTATTGCAGTAAAAGTAAGAGTCCAGTCTGAGTTTCTGGAACATTAGAGGCAGTCGCTCTGTAGACTGAGCTCTGGAGAAGTTCTGTTGCATAAGAAGAGCAATGGAGGTGTTATTGTTCCTTTCTATTTTTGCAACTGTACTTTTTTTGTTGTTAGCATTTTTTTTTTTTTTTTTTTTTTTTTGCTACTGGTTATTATATTTTAAAAGAGTGGGCTACACTGTGTCCGAGTAATTTCCCTTGTGCAAGTCAGTGTAATTTGGTCAACAACAGAGCAGGGAATCCATTTCCAGATGCCGAGGTCAGTAGAACCCAACATAATGTACTAAATTATGAACAATGTATAGATTATATAGATTTATATAGCTGACAGTAGCTGCTTCTGGGGTAGAAAAATGGAAGTGAGGATGTCAGTCTGCACCATCAGTCCAGAACCCTAAACTCATATTAGGCAACTGGGTGTCTTGCTGAAGGACACAACAGTATGCACTTAATCATAGTAGTGCACTGGTATTGCTTTAATAAACATGTACACAGTCAAATACACTTTCACTTTGAGATGTGAACTTTGAAATGTGTCAAAATAGAATCCATATAGTATTTTATGTATTTTATAAATGAAAAATATTTAGCATGTTAATTTTATTTACAACATTTTATAATTCATATATTCCACACAGTAGAACAGTCAGTACAATATTACAAAAACTGACAGAAAAAAGGCTAAGTAGCATGTACTCACTTTTTTTTTTTTTTTTTAAATAAAGAAAGAACATGGAACACAGAAATGAAAACTTCAACATTTTTAGTCTAAATTCTCGTCTCAAATGATCTGAGTGTCTAATCCAAGTCTAATCCGCTAATGATCGCCCAAAATCCTCTCTGATAAAATCATATTTGATGAATGTTTTTGGTGCCAAATGAAGAGTTCGACAGAAGCAGCTGTGTTGTGGTGAGACACTTCAGAGTTTGGGCGGAGAGACAAACTGATCCTTAAATCTGCTCACGTGATCCACTGTGAACTGGAGACATTTGTCCCAGTGAGGGACACGAGGACACTGGACAAACTGCTCTGCATCATGGACACTCCTGCTCCCCCACTGCACCAGACTATAGAGGGACAGATAATACTCCCTACAACTGTATGACAACTCACCTTATGTAACAGATAATACTCCCTACAACTGTATGACAACTCACCTTATGTAACAGATAATACTCCCTACAACTGTACAATAACTCATCTTTATATAACAGATAATACTCCCTACAACTGTACAACAACTCACCCACTGCACCAGACTATAGAGGGACCGATAATACTCCCTACAACCGTATGACAACTCACCTTATGTAACATCTTATGTTCTTTTTTTTCTTTTTTTTTTTACTTTACTTGTACATATATAATATATAATAAATAAATAAATATATAATAAACTTTGTCTAAGTAAGTGTAAAATCTGAAAGTACAGCAGCAGCAGCAGCAGTAGCGTTAGCATGAGCATAGTCGTTAGTTTAAACCAATGAGATCACTGAGTTCACCTGATTAGGATAAAGCTACGTTAGCATGAAAGCTAGGTTAGCATGTGATGATAATAACGGCGAAATCCGGTTTGTCCTGGATTTGAGCAGAATCAATTGTTCTGATGGAAACGTTTGACCCAAATGCTGAGACGGTGAGATTATCAAATGGGTTTAAAACATGACTTTTAAAATGTTTTTGTTGCTTTTTTGTTGAGTAAATCATGGTTTTAGTCTGTAGAATGTGTTTACTGTAGTGCAAATACTTTCCCTCTGGCGTTTGCTCAAACTACACACTGTTATTTTTAGATGGAACAAAACTAAATATAAGCCGTACTATTTTTTTACTTTTGAAAAATAACCACAGTATTTGGGGTTGAGGCTAAACTATGACCAAACCTGGAACTGAACCAAAACCAACTGGGCCAGAACCAGAACCAAACCAGTGTGAATGGACTCTTTCACAACGTTTTGCACACCCATGGTGGGGCATGTCACGTAATCCCTGAACTCCTTCTCTGTGTTGGACATGGATTAAAAAAATAAATAAATGCTGGATTTGCACTAGTGCATTGCATTAAAAAGAGGATTCCCTGATTCTGACTCACAGTAGTCCATTCATTACAGAAATCATGAGGCATCTTTGAGTAAACTAACTATGAGTATCATTTATTTCATGTTTGTCATTATTGACGGGCCTGACCGCCCCTCCACCCTCGCTTAGGTGTCCTGGTTTTCACAAACGGAAATATGGTCACTCTACTGTATCAGGACTAAACCAGGTCTAAACCAGAACTAAACCACGACTAAACCAGAACTCAGATTTCAAAGAAATAGTTTTCCCTAATGACAATATTGTACTTTGTCAACCCAACAGTTGCACTGTTATTCCCTGTTTTTACCTGTAGCACTTTGAGATTATTTTATGTAAAGTGCAATATAAATAAAATGTGTTGTTGTTGTTGTATTATTAAATGTCAAAATAAGGCCAGGAACAGGTATACATTTCTATTTTAGACCTGTTTACACAGATAATCAGCAGATTACTTCACTCCTGTTAGTTTTCTCTTTCTTCATCTCACAATCTTTGCATGAACTTTAAAGTCTCTTCTGGTCTTAAAGCTCTCAATATTAAGTTGAGCGTTCTTGGTTTAATAATAATCATGTGTATAGCACAGTTCAAATGTCAGTGTGCTCATGTAGACTATGCATATACTTCCATTCACTATATTTCTCTCTGATCCTTAGAGGAGTTATATATATATATTTTAATGAAGAGCACACAGCAAGTCTTTCATTAAAGCTATAATTACACCTGGTCTGGTCCACACAAAGGCTTCATATAGAGTTTAAAGCGTACATTTTCTATAGGCGTGCTAGTGTTTCCGTTCCCCTCTCTCGTTAGCGCGGAGTGGATTAGCCAAATCATAATTAGCCCATCGATAGTGTAATTAATGTGGTCATTAAGCCGCTATAAATGTTATCACAAAAGAGTCAGGGATCTGTGTACGGATCAATAAGACAATTACACCTGCGACTGCCCCACAAACCGAACACGAACAGGAGCGGGAGCGGGGGTGTGGAGCAGGACTAGACCAGGACTACAGCAGGACTATAGCAGGACTAAACCAGAACTAAACCAGGACTAAACTAGGACTAAACCAAGACTACAGTTATACCTGTTACTGTGTCTAAAAACTCATGCGGGAATAGTCAAGGCAAGCACAATTCATCCACAAAGTATTCCAAAGTGCTTTACAGAATAAGAAATACATTAAAATCACAATAAAAACAAATCAAAACATAAATAATCATCATAAAAAAGAGAGAGAGACATTAATTACATACATTAGACAAAAGAGCGTGGAATGAAAAGCTTTCAGTATAGAGCGAACAAGGACAAGACCAGGACAAGACCAGGACTAAACCAGGACTAAACCAGGGCTAAACCGGAATTAAACCAGAACCAAACCAGGACTAAACCAGGTCTCTGTAAGGATCAATAACCCAATAATACCAGCTACTGCCCCATAAACCTAAACACATGCAGGAGTATAAAATAAGAGTCAACAAGACTAAACCAGGGTTAAACCAGGATTAGACCAGGACTAAAACAGGACTATAGCAGGTCTAAACCAGGATAAGACCAGGACAAAACCAAGACTGAAACAGGACTAAACCAAATCTCTGTACCGATCAATAACTCAGCTTCATTTTACTGTGTCTATAAACACATGCAGGGATATAAACCTGGAGTGAACCAG